GTACTTTAACATATATGCAGTGGTGAAACTATAGGATTTCATGTGTGGGGCCTTTCACAACATAGGTATTTTGAACTCAAAATATGAGAGTTTGGAGTAACTTGCATAAACATTGAAAGACCCTAAATTCAATAGAGTTTTTTTTTTTTTCTTTACTTATTCTTTTTAAAAAAACAAAGAAAAGGCGGTTACACCCTCAATGAACCTATGAACTTGAACAAAAAACATTGTACAAACCCCCAGAAACCCGAATAAGAGGTAAAGAGTAAGCAATAATTTTTTTTAAATGTAAGTTAAAGCTGACGAAAAGTTGATAGAATATGGAGGGGAAGTGAAGTCTGACCGCAGGGATGAAGAGAAAAATGAGGCCTAACCTAGACCGGAAAAGAGTTTGAATTGAGAATATACTTGAATTTTAATGGCAACAGACTGATATGCAGCATCAACATTTGTTAGAATAGCAAGAAAAAAAAAACAGAGGATGGGCCACAGACCATTTTGGTCCCTTAGTGGCTCTGCCCATGCATACATGGGGCCAATGCAAATCATTAGCAAGTTGAGAAATGAGATTAGCAATCAAATGAGCCATGCATTAGTTCCACAAGAGAAACGAAGGAATCTGATTGGCCTTAATAAAATATGGTCAAGAAAGATGGTGCAGTCTTCCTAACAAACCCTAAAGCATGTGGAACAGTCACCATCTTACCTTAATCATGGCCAAGAAATAAAATTATTGAAGCAGAATATAAAATCTTGAAATTTTTTAGATCAAAAGAAACTTTTTTATTTAATTACAAGCCACAACTCTAATTTATAAATTACTAAAGGGATGAGGAGGCTCGAATTTGGAACTAGCTTAAGACTCAAACTACTGGGATTAACCGACCACAGTGCAGAATAAACTTTCTTAAAGTAATTTACCATGACGTAAATGAGGGAGGAGACAGTGAAAGTCCAGAAACGACCCAAGTAAGAGTCAGCTATGTAAGCCCCTAGAACCGGTGTCATCCATACTGCTCCAGACCAATTATTGACATTCCTGACTGAAGAAACTGTGTCTTCATGAAGTTGGGTGGTCAAGTAATTCACCAAATTGGAAGCTATTCCATAGAAGGCCATCCTCTCAAATGCTTCGTATCCTGAAAGATTATACTTAACAAATTTATTTAAGGTTTGGAAAGGAAAAAAATAATAATTATATTCTTGTATAAATTAAGCATGAAATTGTTATGATAAATTACCAATAAGAAAAGAACAAGCTTTCCATTTTCCAGTCTCGGAGGCCAGCACAGGGCGGCCCCAGAGATTGACCGTGCCGTCTCGGGTGTAACCAGCAGCTTTGGCTTCCATCACACAGTATGATGAGAGTGATGATTGAAGGAAGCACCATACGATATAAGGGCTTAGCTTAGATAGCCCAAAAATAGCTGGAAAAACTATATTATACAAGAAGAAGGGGAAGTGGTAAATCTTATTTATAGCCCTAAAAGGAGAAATGTAATTGTAATGCCACGTCATCATTCTAGTAGCTCGTGCTTGAAGTAGTCTATAAATTTCCTATACAGTAAAGTATGTAGTTATGGAGTACCGATCGAAATCAATATGGCTTGTTTTCCGAGAGAGACTTGTAACTAAAAGAGTATTTACCTTTGCACTCAAGACTTTAAGTTCGGTTCTCCTTCCCTCACTATAGCTTCTACATAAAAGAAAAATGTTGGAGAAAATGGGAAACACATTGTACTTGTTGAGAATGAATCATACATTGATGAGAGAAGGGATCTTGCATGAGCTTATAAGTAAGTTGGGCTACTCCGTATATATTGTCAATTGGTTTTATGGTGAAACATCAACTTTCTTCATGGTACCAAAGCAAGTTGTCTCAAGTGTGAGGCCAAAAGACCACGTGTGCTCAATGCCCCCCCATTGTGTTGTTCACATTTGGTCACCCCATTATGTTGTCCACATGTGGTAATAACCCTATTGTGTTGTTCACATGTAAGGCTCGAAAATTCACCACACAAGAGAGAGCATGTTAAGAATGATTGCCAATTGGTTTTATGGTGAAATCTCAACTTTCTTAAGCACTCACCAAGAAAATTAACAAGTTGGTGCCTTATCCTTAGTTTAAGTCTAATTTTCAATTAAACTCTGCCCACCATCTCTTTGATATTTTTTTGATGTGGTCCTAATATGTATCCTTAATCCTTATTCAGGAATTGTGCATATTCACTAATGAAAAATGGAAATATTAATTAATCAAGATCTTAATCATCATACGCATATCGAATGCATTTCTTCTCATGGAACAAATATTGTTGCTTTCGACGAATGATTGAGATCATGACTTCAATTCCGAGAATCCTAGCTAGACAAGCCTTTTGGTGATGTAAAATTCTTGACAATGTATATGTGTATGATGATTTTATCTAGCATGTTATGTCATGTATTTGTGCGATGATTTTAGGTTGAACTACGACTTGTATGTTTTGTTTTGTTTTATTTTTATTTTATATGAGCAATTTTTTAATCAACTCAAATTGTAAAAAAAAATCCGACATTGAGTGCTGAGTTGAAAACAGATTATCCTAATCAATTTAATTAGGGATGTGATATCCACACATCCGTTTTTACTTCTCTCACACCTTTTTTATTTTCGGCTGTCAGATCGGATGAATTGAAGAAGATCAATGGACAGAAATTAACAAGGGGTGTGTGAGAAGTAAAAAGAGGTGTGTGGATAGCACACCCCTTTAATTATACCCAAACGCCCTAACTTCAACGACTCATATTTCTAAGTTAGAATTTAGATGTCGATACCGATCTTTTTGGAATCTTGATGATAAGAAATGAGAGAAAAATATTCTAGCATCGCCTTTGAGGTCAATGCAAAATGATAATGGAGCACTATGTACTATATATGCTCGCTTTAATTAATAATAATAAAATAATTCATGAGGTGGTTTGATAATTATTTTGTTTCTATTCTTAAAAATAAAAAATAAAAAACCAAAAGCCGTTTTTTTAGTTTTCAAAATTTGGCTTGATTTTAGTTTTTAATTTTCATTTGAAAACATTTATTAAACAAAATTTCAATTAAAAAATAAACACTCAAAACTCAAAACTCGAAAAACAAAAATTAAAATGATTATCAAACAGCAATGACCATTTGAAATTGGTATTGCCAATTTACCTGTCCAAATAGCACCCCGGACAAGTGAGGTTTTAACTCAAGCACTGTCCAACCCATATCCAAATTTTTGTTTTGCCTATCCTTCACTCTATTGCATATGTTGTTAGACGAAGTCAACAATCAGTTAACATTCACGTAACTTGAGGAGTTTTGGTGTGCTTGGAAATCTTATCTCGTTCGCCTTCCGTGTTTGTAGGACTTATTTTCAAATGTCTTTTGTAGTCAAACTGTTTGTGATCTGTTTGTAATCTTTTCATCTTTCTATTTGTAATTTTCAAATTCAAAGTTCCATGTAATTTGGGTTTTCAAACCCACGATGTAATCTTGAAGTTATTATAAATACATACAACCCACAGTTGTTTGGGTATGCAACTGAAGTGAAAAACCTAAGTTCCTAAGTTTTACATGGTCCAAACTACCAACCCCCCCCCCCCACCAAAAAAAAAAAAAAAAAAAAAAAAACCTCTTTCCATCTTTTTTCATCCTCCATGACTATTGTAGTGCACATTGAGCTTGATAGGACTAACTACCCACTGTGGTTGGCCCAGATTCTTCCCATCCTAAAGAGTAGGGATTTAATGGGATATGTTGATGGTTTTCTGGTGTGTCTTCCTAAGCACCTACCTAGAGTTACGACTGTGAATCCTGCGTACACTGCCTGGGTGCAACATGACCAAATGATCTTTAGTTGGATCAACGGATCTTTGACTGCTTCTGTTTTGTCTGTGATGGCAAGCAAACAAACTGATCTAGCTACTTGGGAAGCTCTTGAGCAAAGGTATGCGTCTTCTTCACGTAATCGCATTTTGTTTTTAAGAAATGAATTATTGCAGACTAAAAAGGGTGATCTATATGTGGTGGATTACCTTGATCGCATGAATGCAATAGTTGACAATCTTGCCCTAGTTGGGCAACCCGTGAATGATGATGAACTAGTTCAGATTGTGTTGAACAATCTAAGGCCGGCGTTTGAGATGACTGTTAGTGCTGCTCAAGCTCGTGACACACCCATTACTTATCCTATCCTTGAGGCATTACTGTTGACTACAGAACGCAGAATGGCAAAGCAAAATCCTCATGTGGTTGAGAATGTTCATGTTAATGCCTTCATATTCATTTGCTACAAGAGGCCGCGGTCAGTGGCGAAGCCAGGATTTCTCGGGGGGAGGGGCGAATTTAAAACAGTGCAAGGTTAAAAAAAAATAGCAACAACTAATCTTTGTATATAATAATGTCTTCCATAATTAATCAATAAAAACAAATTACAATTGTTGTCGACAATGTTTCATGTCATGAAAACGTCGCATAATAGGCTCATTATCAATAAAAGCAAATACATCTCTCTCAATGTAAACAACCATGCTATCACTCAACCATTGATCTCCCATTTTATTACGCAATGGTGTTTTCACAATCTTCATAGCAGAAAAAGCTCTCTCCACCGAAGCGGTTGCAACCGGTAACACCAAAGCCAATGTAAGAAGCTTATACACTAACATATAACTTTCACACCTCCCAGTCTTCACTAACTCTTTCGTAAGATCACTGATTCCTCTCAATGATGAAAACTCACTATGCATCTTCATATCTTGAATGTAATTGTCAAGTTGAATTGGAAGATTCATGAGGTCCATACGATCAAAATCTTGAGGATAAAGTTGGGCTAAACGAACAATTTTTTCTTTGTCAAAAGATGCAAAATTATTCACTGGACTCAAACATGCCATACAAAGAAGCAACTCGGTGTTTACCTCATTGAAGCGATCATTCAATTCCTTTAGTTGCATATCAAGGACTTGAAAATAGAGGTCTACACGATAGTAATGGAAGTTTGTGATTTTGGAGCTTTACGCCTTGATTTTCCAGGTACGAAATGCAAATCCTCCATGTTAGGAATGACAATATCATGCTCCTCACAAAACTTTTCTACATCATGCAACAAGTCCCCAAAGTCATCATCTCTCAAGGATTGTAGTCTTTGCTTGCATACTTCCACTAACGCCATCGCATTCACAATATCTTGATCTTTCTTTTGCAATACTTGTGATAACTCATTTGTAATTCCCAATATAAGTCTCATCAAGAAAAGGTGAAACACAAAATCAAAAGTTTGTATGTCTTTGAATAACCCAGTAGCTTCACCGAGATTATCTTGGTTGCGATCACTTTTAATCCATTCAACCACCTCCACCACAGCTTCAAACATAACAATAATACTAACTATAGTACCATAATGCGAGTTCCACCATGTATCACATGGACGCATGAGGCTACTTTCTTGATTTAACCATTTACCCGTTTCAAGATTACCAAGATGAAGAGCTTTTGAATTTGTTCTTGTTGTTTCTCTCTCAATGCATCACGACGCTTGCACGAAGATCCAATAAGATTCACCAATCTATTAGCATTGATGAAGAAATTGGCAACATCCTCATTTTCCTTTGCCACAAATACAAGAGCTAGTTGGAGTTGGTGTGCAAAACAATGAATATAAAATGCTTGAGGATATTTGTTCAAAATCGTTGCTTTAAGACCATTTAACTCACCTCTCATATTACTAGCTCCATCATAGCCTTGTCCTCGTAACTTGGACATACTCAAATTTGTTGTAGCGAACAATCTCTCAATAGCCTCTTCAAGTGAGCTACTAGTTGTAGAGGAGACATGTTGAACACCCAAAAACTTTTCAATTGCTTCTCCTTTTTTGTTCACATAACGCAATACCACCGCCATTTGCTCTTTATTTGAAGCATCACGTGATCCATCAACCAAAAGAGAAAAAAATGTACCTTCCATATCTTTAGTGATTGCATTAATAGTTTCAATAGCACAAGCACGAACAAGATCCTTTTGAATATCGGAAGAAGTATACTTGAGATTCTTGGGAGCATTCTCAAACACAACCTTTCTAACTTTCTCATTATGATCGGCAAGAAATTGCATAAGCTCTATGTAATTACCCCTATTGCTCGATTTCAAAGATTCATCGTGCCCACGAAAAGCCAAACCTTGTCGCAACAACCATCTTGTGCAATCAAGTGCTCCACTCAGTAAAGTGTGATAATTAACGCGAGCTTCATCAGTTTGCTTGATCACAAATGTTTCAATGTGTTGTTTTTGTGTCATCAAGTCTTTAGCTTGTTGCATAGCTTTATTATGAAGACTTCCAACACCTCCCTCGTGGACTCGAAAATTTTCGGGTCCTTTCCTCCAATTTGTAAACCCTTTTGTAGTGAAGACATCACTTCCACTACCACCCGCTTTATCAAAATCACATTTAAAAAGATAGCAATAACGGCAAAATGCAGCATCTACGAATTGATGTGAGACTTCGGTTGACAAGGTTCCTTTTGAAGGTAGTATCTACGAATTGATTCACGACAATTGAGTGGATAATCAAGCATTCGACGTCTCAGTCCAGGGTCTGCCGGAAGATTAGCTAATATTTCATCCAACTCAGTAATCTCACTTTGTTGTGCACTACTCGGAATACTAGAAGGAGGATGAGGACTACCTGAAATATTTGAAGGAAGAGGAGGACTATCCGGAATATTTGGAGAAGGATTTAAGCACTGTTTCTTATAATATCGTTCCATTACGTAACTGTATAACGAAAGAAAAACAAATATATCTTAGACTCTTAGTCCTAGAGTAGACTACGAATTTAATTAATCAGTACCAACAATCATATCATATGAATAATCAATTTTTATTCTACAGTAGAGTATGTAGACTACGAATGTAATTAATAAGTACCAACAATGCATTTGAATGAGGGTTTTAGTTAGTTGAATTGGGGTTCATTATGTTAATGTATATATAATATATCAATCCTCTTTTATGTACTTCAAAAAAAAAAAATCAATAATCATAGTATTCATATGAATAATCTATAATCAATAACCATATAATGTATAACCCTATAATCCTACATCAATTAAACAAAATTTTATATTCAATAATCAATTAGGGTTTGAAATAAATTAAAAATTTTACCTTAATTGGAATTTGGAGTGGCTGTGCACAGTGCACAGTGCTTGCAGTTGCAGACTGATATGTTTGGTCTTGGAGGAGGCCAACAACCAATGGAAAGTGAAGGTTTTGTCGTGTGGGGGAGGGAAAAGAGGGGAAAAGGTGGGGTTGGGGGGGGGGGAATGACGTCTGACGGGATGGGATATGGGGAAAAGGGTGAAGGTTTTTAATTTGAAATAGGGATTCAGATGATGGGGATGGGGACCAGTGGTCCCCCGTTTATATATATATTTTTTTTTTCATTCAACCAAAACGACGTCGTTTACCAAAAAAATTTAATTTTTTTTACCAGGCCCAAAACGACGTCGTTTTGGCCTGGATTTTAAAATTAAAAAAAAATCCCTCCCATCATCTTCCCCGAGAGCTACTCTGTTTCTGGTTTCAGAATTCAGAACCCGGTGCTCACCGGTGCTCCCCAGTTTCCAGGCGAACGAGGGGGGTTCAAGCGTCGCTCCTGCCTTTGTTTTCCGGCGAGCGGAGGGGCGAACGCCCCCCTTCGCTCCTACGTAGCTTCGCCTCTGGCCGCGGTGGTGGACGAACTCGTGGCTCTGGAAAAGGTGGATTTCCACCAAACCATGGTGTAACCTTTAACTAACAAGGTTCAAACCCTTGTAACAACATCAACCAACATAATACATCAGGTAATATAGAAAAATTTGTCCCAAATGGTGATAGGATTATGTGTCAAATTTGTGGCAAACCTGGGCACCCCTGCACTAGATTGCTACCAAAGGATGAATGGTGCATATGAAGGCAGAATTCCTACCAAGCGTCTCTAAACAATGGCGTTATCCTCTCCTATCACTCTTAACAAGCAACCAAATGGAACATGGCTACTGGACACAGGTGCAAATGCACATATTACTCCAGAAATCCAAAACTTGGTCAATCCAAAAGAATACAATGGTAATGATGGTGTAGGAGGTGTAGGTAACAATTCTGGCATCCCTATATCTCACTATGATTCTAATCAATTATATACTGATGCTTGCTCATTTGACTTAAATAACATTCTTCATTGTCCCACAGCCTCCACAAATATTATTTCCACACATAGGTTTACTTTAGATAACCATTGCTACCTACTCATATTTCCACATTTTTTTCCTTGTTAAGGACCTCAAGACCCGGAAGACACTTTTCTAAGGTTGATGTGAGAATGGGTTATACCCATTTCCAAGTGGTAGTGGACAAGTCAACTATCCAGTTTCAACCTTTGTGGGAATTAGAGTCTCGGTTCAAAAATGGCATGCTCGACTTAGTCATCCTGCCAACTCAACAATAAAGTTTTTAATTTCAAATAAGATGGTACCAATTGGTACTTCAAACATAACTTTTTATGAGTCGTGTCCTTTAGGAAAAAGTACTAGGTTACCTTTCAATGTCTCTGAGTTTGTTTCTCAATTTCCATTGCAACTTTTACATTCCAATGTATGGTGTTCTCCAATTATTTCCAATGAAGGTTTCCGTTATTATTTGCTTTTTGTGGATGATTATTCTCAAGTCTTTGAAATTTTTGTCGAATTTAAAGTTAAAGTGGAAAAAATATTTAATTTGTCAATCAAAACCCTTCAATGTGATGAAGGTGGTGAATATAAAAGTCATGCTTTCCAAAACTTTCTTGCACTCAATGGCATTTCTCAACGATTTTCATGTCTCAAACATCCTGAACATAATGGAATTGCAGAACGAAAACATCGACATATTGTTGAAACAAGCATTGTTATGCTTTCACAATCTCACGTGCCCACAAAATTTTGGTTTAATGCATGCTTGACTACCACATATTTAATAAATCGAATGCCAATTCATATTTTGTCTAATCTGATCACCATATGAGAAACTTTTTCAAAGAAAACCCAACTATGAAATGTTAAAAGTTTTTGGTTGTCGATGTTTTCCTTGGTTAGTGCCATACACACAAAATAAGCTTCAACCAAAGTCAAAATCTTGTGTTTTCTTAGGGTATTCTTTGAATCATCAGGCTACAAATGCATGGACTTGACCACGAGAGTATATATTTATCTCGCCACGTCCTATTCGATGAAAACAATTTCCCTTTTAAGGGACTCACATCTCCTTCAGAAAATGTTGACACACAGGGTATGATTCCCTCCCATGACATATTGTTTACGTTTCCCTTATCCCACCCTCCAAATCTGCCTTAATTACTTAACTCTAGCTAGCCTACTTTACCCGTGACCCAAGAAACATCTTCTAATCCAACCACATCACATTCCACCACCTCTCAGCCTTATCCAACTATTCCCACAAATTCAACCCATGTAGAATCTATGAATCCTATTCCCACCATGACTTTAGAACCTAACCAGCCTTTAGGGTCCCTTTCACCATCAAATGAGCAAGTGTTAACGCCTCCAGAACCTATGCTAGTGCAATCTGTGCCTCTCAATACGCTTGAACATCGTATGATAACACATTCCAAATATAGGATTCAAAAACCAAATCCTAGTTATGCTATGCATGTAAATGTTGATTATTTTCCTGTTGAACCTATATGTTTTAGTCAGGCTGTCAAGCACCAAGACTGGAGGGATGTAATGGTTCAGGAATTCCATGCTTTGCAAAGATGTGGAACGTGGACTTTGGTTCTATATCATCCCAAGATGAACTTGCTGCCAAATAAATGGGTTTTCAAAACTAAGAGACGTGCATATGGTACCATAGAGAGACATAAAGCTCGCCTAGTAGCTAATGGTTTTCATCAAAAATCTGGAGTGGATGTCAACGAAACATTTAGTCCCGTAGTTAAGCACAGCACCATAAGACTTGTGCTTAGTCTTGCAGTCTCAAAGAAGTGGCATGTTAGGCAACTCAATGTCCAGAATGCAACTGCATGGTTATTTAAATGAAGAAGTATATATGCAACAACTATCGGGTTTCATTGACAAACAATTCCCAAATCATGTTTGTAAGTTACAACGCTCCATTTATGGTTTAAAACAAGCCTCGAGGGCTTGGTTTTGACGATTTTCAGATTTTTTTGCTTCAGCATATAGTTTGTTTGTATACAATTATAAAGGAGTGTATCTCATTTTGTTAATCTATGTAGATGATATATTGATCACAAAGAACAATTCTCGTCAAATGGCACGACTGATTAAGAAATTGGGCATAGTGTTCTCTATGAAGGATTTGGGACCACTAAATTACTTCCTGGGTGTTGAAGTGAAGTATGATGGTAATTCTATGCATCTAAGTCAATCTAAGTATGCCTTGGATTTACTTACACGTACTAAATTTACAGAAGCCAAACCCATCTCAACTCCAGTTTCATCTAGAAAGAAATTAAGTGCATATGTGGGTGATCCATTTGACAAATGAGAATTGTATCAAAGTGTTGTTGGAGCCTTACAGTACATAACTATTACTCGGCCAAACTTGTCCTACGTTGTTAATCAAGTATGCCAATTTATGCACTCCCCTAAAACTACTCACTAGATGGCTGTGAAGAGGATTTTTCGTTACTTGAAGGCCATGCATAATCATGGACTTGTATACAAGCCTGGAAGTTCATGGTTAACAGCGTTCTTAGACGCAGATTATGCTGGCAATTCGGACACATGACATTCCACAGGTGACTTTTGTATTTACTTGGGTTCTAATCTTATGTCTTGGAGTTTGAAGAAGTAGAAAACAGTTTCACGATCGAGTGCGGAAGCTGAGTATAGGCAATTGGCTTATACTACAGCTGAATTATCCTGGCTCAGGTCTCTCTTCAAGCATCTGCACTTACATCTTACACAGCTCACTATTTGGTGTGATAATATTTCCTCCATAGCCCTAGCTTCGAATCAAGTTTTTTATTCACACACTAAACATTTAGAAGTTGACTATCACTGTGTAAGAGAGAAGGTGGTCCGTGGACAATTGTTGGTTAATTATATTTGTTCCCAGGATTAGCTTGCTGATGTGTTTACCAAGGCTTGTCTTCATCTCGTTTTAAGTTGCTAGTGTCCAAGCTTCTAGTCGTTCCACCGCCTGTTAGCTTGCGGGGGGCTGTTAGACGAAGTCAACAATCAGTTGATATTCATGTAACTTGAGGAGTTTTGGTGTGCTTGGAAATCTTATCTCGTTGGTCTTCCATGTTTGTAGGACTTATTTTTAAATGTCTTTTGTAGTCAAACTGTTTGTGATCTTTTCATCTTTCTGTTTGTAATTTTCAAATTCAAAGTTCCATGTAATTTGGGTTTTCAAACCCATGATGTAATATTGAAGTTATTATAAATACATGCAACCCACAATTGTTTGGGTATGCAACTGAAGTGAAAAACATGAGTTCCTAAGTTTTACATATGCTTCATCATTTAGAACATCACCATATATGTCGTGGTCCATCTTAGTACTTTGATTGAATAGTGTATTACCCATGTCTTCACCTAATTCATTATCATCCTTTTAATTCAAAAAAAAAATAAAAAAAATATTACCTATGTCTGAGGTTATATATAAGATTGAAATGTTAACTACATATATGTCATTACCCATATTTTTCTTTTTCGTTTATACGAACGATATTCTACACAAAATTTATCTTAACTATACATATTCAAACTTGAGTGGAGAAAAATCAAACTGCTCTAACTAACTTGATTAAGTCCATATCTTCTTACAAACGAAAATGCTTTTTGGCTCAGGAAGAGCTAAAAGTCTCACCCTAAAACACTCTTCTGACAAAAAATAAAAAATAAGGATATGTTGTGTCCTAAGCTATTGACCACCATCATTTAGTTTTGGTATGACGTCGTTTTTGTCATCCTCTTCTTCAACTCAACCCCCATGTCCAATATCATTACTTAGATTCAAAATAAAAGTTCTTTAAGTGAAAGAAGGAAGGAAGGAGGAGGGGAATAAAAAAATAAGAAAAAAAGAAAAAACAAAAGCAAAAGTAATAGTATTAAAAAATTTCGAGGAATAAAATAAAAGAATAAAGTAAAAATAAAAATAAAAACCAGTTGTCTCGCCTACTTCCTCTCTCTCCCTCTTCTAATCACCTGAGTTCTTTAAAACTCACAGTGACACCAGCAGTGGCGGAGCCACTTGTGGACTAGGGGAGGTCAGGTCCTACCCTGAAATTTTTTATTTTGTAGCTTATGTTTGTGTGCTTATGGTTGGATACTCTGCATTCTTCGACTTATATGTTGTAGTTTTGAGTCATGATTATTAAATTTTGTTCAACTTCACTGTAAGAACTTATAAAGAAGTTCAGTGCTGATGATGTATTACGTGACTTCATTACTCTCTTTTAATTATTATTTTTTCATTTGACTATAAAAAATGAACCTTTTTTTTCAATTAGTTATATTATTTTTCTTTCATATGGCTTAGAGGCTCCTCCTAACTTCGATTTTTGGCTCTGTGACTGGACGCCGGTTAACTAGATAAGAATCAGCAGCCTCAAATGAAACCTAGTGAAGGAAATAAGGAAAAGATTTTAGTTGGGGTACCAATACCTTGAATTTTTTTTTAGTTAATTAGTGGGAAAACTCTAGGTTTTTTTTCTGTGTGAAAAAAAAAATATCATGATAGGTTCTGGACCATTCTGGTCCCTTCATGGCTCCATCCCTATAAATATGTGAAACTGACGTTCAAATGGTAGAAGTTTATTAAATACCCCTTCAAAGGCGACATACCATCGCATTAATCTTCTTTTCTCTTCTCAACTCCAGTTGATATCATACAAATTTACTCTTCCGTTCACTTTGCCTTAACAATGCCACTCGGACCTATCATTTATCATGATTTATGAACAGGGAACTTTCGACAAGAACAGCATGACATCGAGGGTAAACAGCAACAGCAAGAGCAACAACAATATACAGCTACAGCATAACTAGACATATACAATCAAACCTAGTCACACCTGACCCTACATTTAGCTCTCAAGAACCCTATCCTGTAATTGGAAGTCTTTTCTTGTTTAATTTGTGGCCACAGAACCTATCTCTGCAATTGGATGTCCTAGCCTACTATTATCTCACACCTTAATGCGAGACAAGTTTTGGAGTCCCCAAAGGCAAAAACCCCACCATATAAGACGGTGAATTGATGTTTAGGAGCCTTAATCAATTCATGCAGTACAAATGCTAAATCATATAGCTAACTGGGTCCCTTTAACTTTTTGTAGTATACTTGCATTAACCTCATGGATGCGCGCCACTTTGTTTCTTCATTTACGTTATTGTATTTGTATTTTATAAATTTTATAATCGGAATCATTTATTTTTCTAATTATTATTAAAAGATTATATGTGCAACAAATCAATTAAATTAGGGATATATGGTTAGATATTTGTGTCAAATGAATGATTAATTCATCATGAGGATGTTAATTATTACTAATTAAAACTGTTAATTTGTTCAATATATAGATGGCTAGACTATCTCTAATTTTCTCTAATTTTATGTATCTTTGAAAAATACTATTTAAAGCACTGTGATTGTGAACATGTGTACGCGAAGAATACGTTAATCACTTGTGGATGAACAAAATAGCACACTAGCTCATAATTAAAGTGGATGGAAGTATTTTCCTTTCTTCTTGTACTACTAGTTAGCCACATAATATTGAAATTACCAACTTGTTGGTATGGCCAAAACAATTAATTAAATTTCAGATATGCATGATCCAACACTCCTATATATCATAATACATCCAACACTCCTAATTAATTTTAAGCATTCTAGATGATTTATTAAAAAGAAAATATTATCTATAGTACTATATATATAAAAAATTTAAGATGATTTATTAAATCAATTTTTTTTTACTAAGAGTAGATTGCAAGAGCACTATATAAGCATGTTTTAGAAAAAGCGTTCAAACTATTGCATCAAAGCAAATTTTTGCAAGATGGCAAGCCATACGAAGCTTTTTTTATTTTGACATCGAATATTTAAAAGGTAGCCAAAATTGCTTCCCCGGTTTTCAAATAGAGAATTCTTGCAAGAAGAGATGTTAGGAAAGAAACCTAATACTAATCAGTCAACTAGAAGGCTTCTAGCCTAACTCAAATCAGTAAAACAAGAGTTAATTAACCCTTATCCCTTACTCATGCAGTGGTTCAATCAACAGATTTAGGGCTGGTTTGGTATTGTTGTGCTTTGAAAAAAAACTGTTATGAGAATAAACGGCTGTGCTGTGAGAATAAGCGGCTGTGAAATAAATCAGCAGAGTGTTGGTAAACTTTTTTGTAAAGTGCTTTTGGAAAAAAAAGCAGTCTGATAGTGGGTCTTTTCATTAAAGGAGCACTGTAACTCCGTGTGCTTTGAAAAAAAGCCAGTTTTCCAAAGCTGCAAATAGCAACTTCAGTTTTTTCCTTTGATTTCAGCTTATTCTCACAGCACCTTCCAAAATAAGCCCCTTTTTTTTCAGTTTACCAAACACCTAAAACCCTTACAGTTTTTTTTCATGGGTGCTTTTTTTTTTAAGCACCTCACTCCCAAACCACCCTTTACTCCATTGGGTTCTACTTTAGAGAATATCAGACTAAACTATCAGTTAACCTTAGTAAGTTCGTATGATCCACTCCAATCACCAATCATAAATTCATCATAGCCTGCAATAAATTACAGTAAAACATCCTATTACATTGAAAAACCTCCCAGTGAACACCTGTTTAGTACCCCGACCAGGTTCAGTCACATCAAGACACCAGAAAAGTTGGCCAAAGCCTAATTCCCCCAGGTTTCCATTACTCTCTGGGAGATCTACTCAAGTTTTACAAAAGCATCTTATTTGAAACAGAGTCAATATCTATTAACCAATTAGGAGTTCCAATGACCAAACCAAAATTCTTTACCATTCCATCCACATAGGGAAAGTCAAGAATGGGGTATTCTCATTCATCAATACAAACCTCTCCATTCCCAGCTACCAAATATTCAATATAATTGCTATGGTTATATTGACGGATGGACTAACATTTTTCTTTATCAAACAAAGGATTTCAGTCATTCATGTTTTATCAATTTTGAAGGTAAATTCAAGCCAAACTTCTCAGCTTGGTTTTCCAGGTGGTGGATTTCTCATGGGCCAACAATCACTGTCATTTTAGAAACTCTCATGCAAAAAATTTAGGCATTTCCAGTACCATTACAAGAAAGACAAAGGTGACATGGATCTTAAAGTAAGAATAAGATGTCAACTATTAAAAAAATTTCAGTCATTTCAGTCAAGTACTAGACAAATTCAACCAACAACAAACCATCGACCAGGTCCTCGAAAAGTTTCCAATTGAGCAATCTCGGGCTCCTCTAACACAGTACTCTCAGAGATTTCCCCTTCCTCTTCCCTCCAAGCAATGTCAAAATCATCTTCCTCAAAAGAAAAGGCAACCATAGGATTTACAGATTTAGTTCATCAACTACTTGCCCAATCAGCCACTTAGCTTCTGAAAATGAATATGATTTGTCTTCAGAATCTTCAGATGCTTCCTCTCAGAAGTTGGCTACTACAATTAAAACTGAACCAATAACAGCAGAGCAGAAGTTTATATGGGCAGATTGTCAAGACAGTCAAGACCCTTATGAGTAAACTAACCAGAAGTTAAAAATTGATTTTGGGGACCACTATTCATCTAGGATAGAAAATCAAACAATAATCCGACAAACTACTATCCAACTATGGTGCAGTTGTTGTGCCAATAATCATTCCACTTAGAAGTTCAACAGTAAACCGATAAGATACTATTCATCCACAATGCCGTCGTACCAATAATTACTCTACAACAGTTAAAATATTAATCATTCAGACAGACCACTATTCATGCATAAATCAACAGTCATCTAGCCCATGCTCCTATTGCCAATTGTGCAATCACTCATGCCTCATTCTCCCTTCTATAAAAGAAGGGCTCCGAAGCCTAAGTTAGCAAGTTCTACAAAATAGTATAAGTTATACAAGATAGTATTCCTATTTAATTTTTTATTTTATTTGAAGTATATATACCAAATTTTATGGGTGAAAATGATGATCTATGGCCAAGTCGAGCGCTGCATGGAACATTTGCAAATTGCACAGAGTCGTCGCAATAATAGGGCAACCTTTGAAATTGGTCCAACATCGCTGTTCGAACCCACAACAACAACAACGACAAGGTCAATACTGCAATAGCTGCACGGCCAACCATTTTTGTATCCATCTTTCGTTATATTCATGTAATTACAAGAACGTACGAACAAACCAAAAACAACAGAAGTTTATGTGAAACAAGAGCACATAAGCATTCAATTTAATCGAGAGTTGTCGAAACGAAATGATAGACTCTTAGGGTTAGGGTTTAGATAAACATTCACGCATGCATGCAGTTGGAGACAATTTGACTTGAGAAATCGCACGCAACTAAGCATACAGTCAGTCCCATATGAATTTGGAATCTTTATATCTCGTATTCGATCGCTGAGGAAAATGCCAAAATGGTGCAAAGATATAATTGGCTAGCTTTACTAGCTTTAGCTAGATGGACTCTAGGATTAGATAATGAAGTGAACATATATATACACGAATGAATGATTTGGTCAACTTCGAGCAATATTGTATCGTGCAGCAGCACTATCATAAAAGATAAAACAAACGAGAAAAGAAAGGAGAAAAAGCTGCTCCTTTTGCCTTTCAAATTCTGGCAAACAAAGAAAAACAGGAGATTATATCTCAAATGGCACAATGAACAGGCCATCAGTTCATCTGTGACTTTTCCACTTGGCATATGGGCTTTAGTTAAAATTCAACGACACAGCGATGGGAGAGTTCATTTGGGCTCGTCAATGAGGTACTCTTAAATTGGGTTGGGCATTCCCAAAATATTATTGGAATAAAATCATAAAGTAAAGAGTAAATTGTAGTTATGGTCCATTAATTTTAACTCAATTGGAGCAATGGTCCATCAAGTAAAAATCTATTACCATTGATCCCTCAACTTATCAAAACGTGCAGCTATGGTCCCTCAACTAAAAATCCATTACCATTGGTCCCTCAACTTTAATTCAACTGGAGAAATGGTCCTTTAATTTTAACCCAATTGTAGCAATTGTCATTCCAACATAACTCGTTTTGACAAAATTTTTATGTAGTTGATGAAAAAAACCATAATTACACACTTCGATGAGTTGAGGGACACTAATTATATAAATGGTTATTCCAACGTAACTTATTTTGATGAAATTGATGAAAATGACTATAGCTACACATTTTGATAAGTTGAGGGACCAATGGTAATGGATTTTTAGTTGAAGGACTATTGCTCCAATTTGATTAAAGTTAAGGGACCATTGCTACAATTTACTCTAAAGTAAAAGTGGTGGTAATACTAATAAGCATATCTTTGAGGGAGAGACTCTTGTTCTGATGTCGTCTTAGAATGTTAGATTAACACTCTCAACATTACAAGCCGGTTTTGCTACATAGGGATGTAGTTCTTGTATAACCGGTTTGTGTAGAAGAACAATGCCCAAAAGTTTGTAACAATCCCAAAATATGCTACAAATCTTCAACGATGTATATTGGGTCCTAACAGGAACTTTAGCCGGCTTTTTATGAGAAACTGCACATTTTTTTTGGAGACTAGTTGGAGAAGGATTGAATTAAGACAAGTATTTCTCTAGTACGTAGTGCCGAACTTTGGACGGTGCTGCGATAAAGCCTCTATTTCTTGATGCATGCATGCGTGATGGAACCTCTATATGACTCTCCAACTAGAGGTTTCTCAAAAGAGGGACATTACAATCTGCAGGGTCCCTTTCTTGAAAGACATTAATTAGACTAACGTGGAAAGTGTGGACAATGACAAAGCCAAAAGGTGGTCCAATAATTTGGATTTGTACAGAAAAATTAGAAATGTTTAATTAAATTATTTAATTGCTTACCCATCTCTTGATATCTTTTTATATTCATCTTTACACATTATAGGATTTGTTGGGTTTTGTTTAGCAAGACAGTAGGAGATTGTAACTCTTAGCAAGCGATTGTGAATTAGGACTAACTTTCAATTTTTCCTTTGTTGAATATTAGTGATTACTAATGTTCAATACTTTTACAAACCATAAGTGATAACAAGCAATATGTCATGGCTACAAAATATATATGACGTTTGAATCATTTAAATTAACTTTTTCTATGTTTACTGGCATATACAAAATCAGACTAATTAATTCGATTTTCTTTCCTTACTTCTCTACGTTTAAGTTTCCCAATTCTTTAATTTTCATGATCATGTCAAGTAAACATGCCACAAGTCTCTTATGTTGTGCATTATCAAGCTAGGACAAGAAATTAAAAAACGACAAATACAGAAAGCGAATATTGACACGCAAGTGATGTTAAAATTATTTCCTTGACGATGAAATTAGCCAACGCAAAATAAATGTATAATCCAGCTTTACTTTAGTCGCTTTCCCAATAATTGAAAATAATTTACACCATATTTGTCTGCCTTTATTAAGCTTGTTGGTTTCTCAAGTGCCTTTATCAAGCTTGTGGTTTCTCTTGAGTTGTGACTTGTGTAGTTATTAGGCATGAAGATCCAAATCATTTATCTTTTAGATCATCATTCATAGATGTTCATTATAAAAATTTAAACAAATCCCAAACTATTAAGACATTCATTTGTAGTGAATAAAATAGACCCATACGGTTCTACAAAAAAAAAAATCCTAAACTCTTAGGGCTCGTTTGGATATGCTTTTAAAATGACTGAAAGCACTTTTAGAGAAAATATTTTTTGATTCCAATATGTGCTTCTTCCAGGAAGTGTTTTTCCAGAATTTACTTGCATTTCTACTAAAGATTGGTTCCAAAAACATTTTCATCAAAAATGCTTTCAGTCATTTTAAAAACACATCCAAACGAGCTCTTAATCTACCAATCATACGGTTTCAGATTTGGGTGATTTTTTGTATGCATAATCTTTGAAGGAAGACTTAAAATATAGACGGTTTGGATTGTGGAAATACATTACAAAGTGGATCTCACAAAAACGTGTGCCAAAAGTTGTGTAAAAAATGATGATGTCATGGATCCGTCCCCTATATATGAATGTGTGTGTGATCTTCTACTAGCCTAGAGAGAAGTGTAACATGGCTTCCAATTACCACTTATTCCTACTTATCTTTGTCTTTGCTGCTGCATTTCTTGAATCCAACTGCAAGCTCACTCAAAATTTCTACAAATCCAAATGTCCAAAAGCATTGTCCATTGTGCAAGAAGGAGTTATAGCAGCCATAAAAAACGAAACGCATCGGAGCTTCCTTGCTCCGTCTGCATTTCCACGATTGCTTCGTAAATGTAAGTATATATACCTTCACTTACTGTGCTCGTGTTCAGCCATTCTCAACTGAAGGGGTTGGCTTACTTTCTTTGTTTAATCTCAGGGTTGTGATGCGTCGGTGCTGTTGGACGATACATCAAGCTTTGTTGGTGAGAAAACAGCAGCTCCTAACAACAACTCCATTAGAGGATTTGAAGTTGTTGATCAAATTAAAGCCAAGCTTGAGAAAGCATGCCCCGGAGTAGTCTCATGTGCTGATCTTCTAGCTCTTGCTGCGCGTGACTCAACAGTTTATGTAAGTAACCTATCTTAATTTCTTGTGAAATATGTACAAAATGAACTTGCTACAAAAAATTTCATCAAAAATGGAACTAACCGTCACTATACAGACAAGAAACCATATATAAATAATATGGTTTAGTATCCTTTATTGTCTGTTTAGTGTCTCTCAAGTTTATAACTTGTTCATTTCTGCGTATATTTACTTAATCTCTTCCTCCAAAATCTCAAATTTCAATTAACGTTGTCATAAATCATCTTCTCCATTGGCATCTATTTTTACATGGAAATTAATACTTTTGGATTTGCAGTTGGGAGGTCCTTCATGGAAAGTTGGTTTGGGAAGAAGAGATTCAACCACTGCTAGCAGAAGTGCTGCCAACACCTCCATTCCTCCACCAACTTCCAATATAAGTGCTTTAATTTCAAGCTTCTCTGCACAAGGCCTCTCCATAAGGGACTTGGTCGCTCTTTCGGGTTCTCACACAATTGGCCTTGCAAGATGCACATCATTCCGCTCACGCATCTACAACGACTCCGCCATCGACGCCACCTTTGCCCAGTCATTGCAGGGAATTTGCCCAAGAAGCGGAAATGACAACAACCTTGCAAGCCTTGACCTGCAGACCCCAACACATTTTGATAACAAGTACTACAAGAATTTGTTGAAAGAAAAGGGACTTCTTCATTCAGACCAGGAGCTCTTCAACGGAACAACTTCTACTGATAAACTGGTTCAAATTTATGCAAATAACACATTGACATTCTTCAAGCACTTTGCCGTGGCCATGGTCAAAATGGGAAACATCGATCCTCTTACTGGAAGTCAAGGTGAAATCAGAACTAATTGCAGAAAAGTGAACTAAAGTTTTATGAAATCATAGAAAGAGAATAGATTGCAAAAATCTTTTCATTGGTATAAAAGTACTCGTGTTTGGACAAAAAAAAAAGTAGGAGAAATGCAACTAAACCATAATGTGGGCAATTAAACTTATTATCGATGTTATTCTAAATTGAACTTTCCATTTAAATTTGTGGTTCTTGTTAATCTGTTTAAATTTTATGTAATTTTGCCACTTATCTATTTTTATACAAATGATATTGGAAGAGAATTTCAAACTCTGAGTCCAAAAACTACTTGAGCTATAATGCCCCAAATATGTCACTACACATTTAACAGCTATGCTTCCAGTTACACAATCAAATCAAATTAAATCCGATACAAAATATAGTAGGTTAAGAGACGCTACAAAAAGAGGGTAAACAGGGACCCCGAGTGATTATTCCATTACTTCAGGAAACTTTTACACTTTCTCATACTTTCTTTCATTTACTTGCTTAACCTTCATCTCTACTTCTCGAGTTGACTGTACACAGAGATAAAAGTATTCTAACCATCAAGCACTTACATCGATGTAAATTGGCGAGCGGTGGTAGTTACATCAGAATTAGTCGATTGCACACTATTGTGACTACACAGAGAACGCAACGGGTTTTGGCACCCTTGCTTTTTCTATACGATGCACTATATAGTTCTTCCGTTTACTCTAATCAACTGAATCAACTTCCTCTTCTGACAGTTCAAATGCATCGATCTCTGCGAAGTATTTTCTCTTCTCCTCAATCTCTTCAAAGTAAGCTCTCTGCTTCTCCGAAGCTGGTACTGCACGCTGCTTCTGTAGAAATATCACACACAAATTAAAAGTGAATAACTATAAACCCAGACTTTATTGTAAAATGGAACTTAACTTATTTCACCACAGGCTGTACAGATAGGAAAATAACAAGAACTCGTTTCAACAAACATAAAACCTGCTAGAACAAAGTATAAGTTTGAGGATTGTTTAAACAAGTGAAACGATAAACGGACCATATAGTATTAAGTGGACGGTGAAGAACGAATCTTGCCATAGACATGCTCTTTGGGTGTCAATACAGAACCATGTTGTGGATATATAGAAATTCTAACTGTGATAGAATAATTTTGTTTTGGACTGATATGAAAGCACAACAGAACTGATCAATTTATTGTAGGAACCAGACCCCAAGTCAGATAAAAACTAGCAGTTTCTACACAAAACAACGGGAAGGTTACCATAAACGTTAACAAACCTTTTTGTGAGGAGCCATTGATTCCTTGGATGCACTGTTGTGTCCGCTTTCCTTTGTCTGTTTCCTATTTTCAATGGGAGGAAGACACACAGAAGCATTAGCTTTAACAATACCCAATACAAATAGAATATCAAATAGAAGCGTGACAAAGGAAAAAGCGTATTTAGAGCATTCTCATTCAAGAAACAGCACGGCGTTACAGTAGTCTCAGCAGATCACTCAAGTGGGATAACGGATATTCATATAGCCGACCCACTTAGTGGGAAAAGGCTTGGTTGGTGTTGTATTGCTCTCAAAATGAATATCTTATCATATTCTTGTACTAACAACCTACAATGTTTTGATGAATAACCTCTTACAGCAAGGCATCTAACTTTTGAAAACTCCAAGCAATGACGTCGTTTCCTCCCATTACTTTAACAATCCATAGCACTACACGGGAATTAGACACTTACCTAGCATTCCGGGTCTTTGGTGCGGGAGGACAACTCCAGGATCCAGCATTTTCCTTCCCTTTACCCTTCCTTTTTACTGCAGTCTGTCTTCGAGTATACACTGAACAAGGTTCAAGAGCCTCACGAACGCTGGTACCTAAACTCGAAAACCAGAATATACCAATAAGGTCTCAAACCACTTAGATTCTCAAAGAAAATGCACAGCTGAGTGTAAGAATAGCATCAAGTTCAATTCAAAATATGCACTCAATTGCGAACACAGAGCAACAAATTCAACTAATACCAATAGATTCAGGCTACAATTAACATTCGAAACAAACAGATTCCAAGCGAATTGTTGTTCTTCTAGGGTTTCCAGGAATCTACAGCAAAAAATTTCCAAAGCGCATAGAAAACCCTAGATTCCCAAATTGAAATCAAAACCAGAACAAACAGAAACCGCAGCCCAAACCAACCAAGAAAACGAAGAAACCCAAATCCGGAGCAGAGAAATTACCAGAAGCAGAGGACGAGACGGGAGGAGGACGAGGAGGAGTGGACGGAATCGGCGGCGGGACTGCAGAGGGTTTAGGGGTTAAAGCGGAGAAGAGGTTCCTAGTGACGGAGGCGAGCTTGGGATTCTGGCGTTTGAGCGCGGGGGTGGAGGCGGACGAGGACTGACAAGAGCCGGCGGTGGTGGTGGTGGAGGAAATGGTGTTGGTGCAATCCGAGAGAGGGTTTCGGGACCTCAGTCTTCTTCTCGATGGCTCAGCTTCCATTTCTTTATTTTTTTGCTACTTCATAATTTGCTTACTTCTTTATATATGAATGAGAGTGAGTGAGTTGTGAGCGCAAAAGAGTGTGGCGGGAGAATTAATTTAGAGAGAGAGAGAGAGAGAGAGAGAGAGAAGCGTGAAGTGAAATCTGGAATCTCGAATCTGGATGGTTCGTCGTTTTTCTTTACCGAGTTACGAGCAGCGAGAGCTCCGTGTTTTGGGCCTAATCTAGGTTGGGTTGGCCTATTATTAAACTGGGCCCAAGTTTTTTTCTTTGAGAAACTGAGTAGAGGTTGGTGTCTTTGGGTCTATTGAATAAAAAAAAATGAGAATTTTAACGAAAAACATCCGGTACTGTCCTTATCATTAAAACTTAAAATTTTCAAGTCATTTTCATTAGTTTTCCTTAAAAAGAACCGAGCATAGCCGAATACCAAACCGAGCCGAACGGTTTGGAAATAATTTGTTTTTTTGAGGTTTTTGTTTTAATGGTCTCTGAAATTGACTTGAATTCAGAATTGATCAATATCATTCTTAAATTTGAATAACTCGGTTTATTGCGGTTCTTTTGTTTGAATGATGTACAATAACATGTCAATGTGTTGATGTGATACATGTGAACTCACACATCCAATTAAATTGCACCACGTGATTAAATGATTTTTTATTTTTTTGAAAGCAACTGTAGGATAAATTTCATTGATAAGAAGAAACAGTTACAAGTAAGGCCGGCAGAAGAGGCCGCCTCCAAGACAATCAGCAGCAAGTAAATTAATAATAAAATCGAGGGGGGAGGTTCTTCAAACCAGGAGCATGAGGTTCCATCCATACGGAGAGCAGAGAAGGCAAGGCGGTGAGCAGTACCATTGCCTTGGCGACGGATATGGGCAACCAAAGCTCCAGTAATCCTGAAAAGAGAAGCCTTAGAGTCTTCGATAATATGCCCCAAGTTGGACATATTCACAGAGCTCTCAAGCAGGGCTTTCACGACCTAGAGATCACACTAAAAAAGGAAAGCATTAAAAGCTCTTTCCATCGCCAACGACAAGCCTTCCCAAGCAGCCAAAGCTTCCGCTTGAAGGGGAAAGAACACAAAACGAAACCGAATGGCACTGGCAGCCACAAACGAACCCTTATCATCACAAATAATGATGCCAACACCCCCCATCCTGCTATCTTCAAACCATGCGCCAACGACATGGATTTTCAAATAACCTGATGGAGGTTTGATTCACCTCACTACTGGCGATACTGCAGAACTAATCAGCCAACGGGACCCTGATTTGATAATATGCCTAGCTGCAAAAATACTACGCCAACAGTAGGACACATTGTCCTCCCAGAAGCTGGCCACTACAGTTAAAACTGAACTAATAAAAGAAGGGCAGAAGTTTAGATGGGAAGATTGTCAAGACAGTTAAGACCCTTATGAGTAAACTAACCACAATTTAAAATTGATTTTGGGGACCACTATTCATCCAGGTCAGAAAATCAAACAATAATCCAATTAAGTACTATTCATCTACGGTGCAGTTGTTGTGCCAATAATCGTTCCACTTACAAGTTCAACAGTAAGCCGACAAGGTACTATATTTATCCACAGTGTCGTCATCCCTATAATTACTTTACAACAGTCAAAATATTAATCATTCAGACAAACCACTATTCATGCATAAATCATCAGTCATCTAGCTCGTGCTCCTATTGCCAATTGTGCAATCATTCATGCCTCATTCTCCCTTCTATAAAAGAAAGGCTCCGAAGCCTAAGTTAGCAAGTTATACAAAATAGTATAAGTTATGGATGAAAATTTCTTCCTCCTTACTCTTGGACAAAATTGCACCTACAAAATAAAAACACCTTAGGTCAAGGCCAAGAGCCTCACACGCCCATGATGAATTGGGGGGGGGGGCTTTGGCTGAATAACCTCCAATGTCAAAGTTAGAATTTTGAAGGAAAAGTGTTTAGAGAATTTAGAGAATTCTAGCGAGAGAATTGGAAGTAAACTTTGAGGAGAACGATGGGGTTTAAATAGGAGAGTGGCCGGCCTCCTTGGGTCAGAGAGGACCGGCCACCTAGCTCCCTTTGTGGGCTAGGTTCTTGATTTGTGTTTAATTGGGAGTTATGGAATAATTACTTAATCAATTAGCTAATTAATAGAATAGGTAGCTAATCAATATAAATAAAAAATGGAAGATTTGGGAGTTACCTTATGGAGAGGATTGGATGAGGATTGATGAAATAGGCTTTGAATTGTTACTTATTTTGGGCATTTTTGACTTGTTGACGGATGATTGCCCGCTGCTCAGTCGTAGGAATCCCGATATGCCTCATGGGTATTTTTGTCATTTTTTATCCAAAGATTCACGTGTTGTCTTGTGATTATTTTGGGCTCCACATAAGTTATACAAGATAATATCCTGTTTTATTTTTTATTTTGAAGTATATATATCAAGTTTTATGGGTGAAAATGATGATCTATTGCCAAGTCGGGCGCTGCATGGAACATTTGCAAATTGCGCAGATTCGTCGCAATAATAGGGCAACCTATTGAAATTGGTCCAACATCGCTGTTCGAACCCGCAACAACAACAACGACAAGGTCAATACTGCAATAGCTGCACGTCCAGCCATTTTTGTATCCATCTTTCGTTATATTCATGTAATTACAAGAACGTACGAACAAACCAAAAACAACAGAAGTTTATGTGAAACAAGAGCACATAAAGCATTCAATTAATCGAGAGTTGTCAAAACGAAATGATAGACTCTTAGGGTTAGGGTTTAGATAAACATTCACGCATGCATGCAGTTGGAGACAATTTGACTTGAGAAATCGCACGCAACTAAGCATACAGTCAGTCCCATATGAATTTGGAATCTTTATATCTCGTATTCGATCGCTGAGGAAAATCCCAAAATGGTGCAAAGATATAATGGGCTAGCTTTACTAGCTTTAGCTAGATGGACCCCAGGATTAGATAATGAAGTGAACATATATATACACGAATGAATGATTTGGTCAACTTCGAGCAATATTGTATCGTGCAGCTGCACTATCATAAAAGATAAAACAAACGAGAAAAGAAAGGGGAAAAAGCTGCTCCTTTTGCCTTTCAAATTCTGGCAAACAAAGAAAAACAGGAGAATATATCTCAAATGGCAGAATGAACAGGCCATCAGATTCATCTGTGAATTTTCCACTTGGCATATGGGCTTTAGTTAAAATTCAATAACGACACAGCGATGGGAGAGTTCATTTGGGCTCGTCAATGAGGTACTCATAAATTGGGTTGGGCATTCCCAAAATATTATTGGAATAAGGTCATAAAGTAAAAGTGTTGGTAATAAGCATATCTTTGAGGGAGAGACTTTTGTTCTGATGTCGTATTAGAATGTTAGATTAACACTTTCAACACTACAAGTCGGTTTTACAAGATAGGGATATAGTACTTGTATAACCGGTTAATTTGTATAGAAAATCGATGCCCAAAAGATTGTAACAATCCCAAAATATGCTACAAATCTTCTACGATATATATTGGGTCCTAAAAAGAACTTTAGCCGGCTTTTTATGGGAAACTGCACATTTTTTTTAGACTAGTTGGAGAAGGATTGAATTAAGACAACTATTTCTCTAGTACGTAGTGCCGAACTTTGGCATAGCGCTGCGATAAAGCCTCTCTTTCTTGATGCATGCATGCGTGATGGAACCTCTATATGACTCTGCAACTACAGGTTTCTCAAAAGAGGGATATTACAATCTGCAGGGGCCCTTCCTTGAGCTAAAAGACATAAATTGGACTAACGGGGACAATAACAAAGCCTAAAGGTGGTCCAATAATTTGGATTTGTATAGAAAAATTAGAATCAATTGGACTAACAAAGTGTGGACAATAACAAACCCTATATATCTTCATGCCTAATAACCACACAAGTCACAACTCAAGAGTCAAGAGAAACCAACAAGCTTGATAAAGGCACACAAATCTATATATTACACCATTGTTTTATATATTTTTTAGACACGTTTTTATGAGGCTCATTCTGTAATTTATTTTAAAGATCTAAATCGTTTATCTTTTAGATCATCATTTATAGATGTTCATTGCAAAAAAATTAAACAAATCAAAATCATTAAGACATTCATTTGTAGTAAATACAATAGACTGATAAGGTTCTACAAAAAAATCCTAAACTCTTAATCTACCAATCATATGGTTTCAGATTTGGGTGATTTTTTGTATGCATAATCTTTGAGGGAAGACTTAAAATATAGACGGTTCGGATTGTGGAAATACAATATAAAGTGGATCTCACAAAAACATGTGCCAAAAGTTGTGTAAAAAATGATGATGTCACGGATCCATCCCCTATATATGAATGTGTGTATGATCTTCTACTAGCCTATAAAGAAGTGTAACATGGCTTCCAATTACCACTTATTCCTACTTATCTTTGTCTTTGCTGGTGCATTTCTTGAATCCAACTGCAAGCTCACTCAAAATTTCTACAAATCCAAATGTCCAAAAGCATTGTCTATTGTGCAAGGAGTTATAGCAGCCATAAAAAACGAGACGCGCGTCGGAGCTTCCTTGCTCCGTCTGCATTTCCAGGATTGCTTCGTAAATGTAAGTATATATACCTTCACTTACTGTGCTCGTGTTCAGCCATTCTTAACTGAAGGGGTTGGCTTACTTTCTTTGTTTAATCTCAGGGTTGTGATGCGTCGGTGCGGTTGGACGATACATCAAGCTTTGTTGGTTTCTCAAGTGCCTTTATCAAGCTTGTTGGTTTCTCTTGAGTTGTGACTTATTGTGTGGTTATTAGGCATGAAGATATATGGCATGAAGATATATATAGACAGGCCCTTTAAGGATAAGAATCCCTATTTTTTTTTAAAAAATAGGCATACCCTCTCGACCGTTAGATCTGGATTTAATGAAATTCTGTGATTGAGATTAAATCACAAGCTACAGAATCTCAACTATAGAATTTCATTAAAGTCAAATCTAACGGTTAAGAAAGTGTCCCAATTTTATTTTAAAATATAGGGATCTCTTCCCATAAAGGCTTCCTATATATAAATATATATGTTCAAGCCTAATAACCACACAAGTCACAACTCAAGAGAAACGAACAAGCTTGATAAAG